ATATACATGTGTGTGTGTGTGTGTGTGTGTGTGTGTGTGTATAAAAAACATTTTTTTTAAAGACAGAGTCTTGCTCTTGTTGCCCAGGCTGGAGTGCAGTGGTACGATCTCAGCTCACTGCAACCTCCACCTCCCAGCTTCAAGTGATTCTCCTACCTTAGCCTCCTGAGTAGCTGGGATTATGGGATTACAGGTGCCTGCCACCATGCCTGACTAGTTTTTGCACTTCTAGTAGAGACACGGTTTTGCCATGTTGGCCAGGCTGGTCTTGAACTCCTAACCTCGGGTGATCTGCTGCCTCAGCCTCCCAAAGTGCTGGGATTACAGGCCTGAGCCACCATGACTGGCCTAAATATTCATATTTTTAAAAAAGAATGTCGACATTTACTTTGCACTATATACAAAAACTGCCTTAAAAAAGAACATAGACCCAAATGTAAGAGCTAATACTGTAAGATTTCTTGACGAAAACATGAGAGGAAATTTTCGTGACATTGAGTTAGCCAAAGATTTCAAAAATCGACATAAAAAGCACAACTACAAAAGAAAATATTGATAAGTTGGACTTAACTTATCAGTTAAAAGTTGAAAGCTGCACAGTGAAAGTCTTACGTAGATAAGGAATTTGTCAACAAAAAAGAATGAAATACCAGGCATAGTGCCCACATTCTTCTAGATTTCTTTCAGAACTTAAACAATATAAAAGTACCTAAATTTTTCTTTCTGCCATTGATAGGCAAATTCGTTTCTCTGATTCCCTTTGTTGTCTTGAGAGCAATTGCATACAGTCAAATCCTAATTTTATTTGGCAGCAAAGAGAATTGATGTTTCATGAACAATGAAAGCCTACAGACACTTCCCAATGACAATGAAACTGACAGTGACCACCCAATGTTTTACCAGCACTACCGTAGAAAGCTAGGCTGTAGATCTTTCCCCACTTTCTGGTGTACAGGTGTTAAGGAGTTGTGAAAGGACCAAACTGCCCTCACTCAAGAAGAAGGGAAGCAAGCAGCCTGGCAGGTCCAACACTACATATATATATATCAGTTCCAGGATAAATAAGAAATTCCTTGCCTATGCAATAAGTTAGCTCAATTATAGTTTCACCCATAAGAAATTGCAGATATTCAAACATTTTTGACCAGTAAAAAAATAAATAAATAAATAGGTGTTCCTTTTTTTATTTGAGACAGAGTCTTGCTCCTTGGCCCAGGCTGAAATGCAATGGCATGATCTCAGCTGACTGCAACCTCTGCCTCCTGAGTTCAAGAAATTCTCCTGCCTCAGCCTCCTGAGTAACTGGGATTACAGGCATGCGCCATCATGCCCTGCTACTTTTTGTATTTTTAGTAGAGGAGAGGTTTCACCATGTTGACCATGCTGGTCTCGAACACCTGACCTCAGGTGATCCACCTGCCTCGGCCTCCCACAGTGCTGGGATTACAGGCGTGAGCCACCATGCCCAGCCATTTCTCTTTTCTTTTTTTAAAGAGATGATGTCCTGTCTGGGCATGGTGGCTCACATCTGTAATCCCAGCACTGTGGGAGGACAAGACAGGCGGATCACCTGAGGTCAGGAGTTCAAGACCAGCCCGGCCAACATAGTGAAAACCCATCTTTACTAAAAAATACAAAAATTAGGCTGACATACACCCATAGTCCTGGCTGCTCAGGAGGCTGAGACAGGAGAATCTCTTGAACCTGATTCTCCTGTCTCGGTGGACAGGAGGGGTAGGTTGCAGTGAGCCGAGATCACACCACTGCATTCTAGCCTAGACGACAAAGAGATTCCATCTCAAAAGAAAAACAAAACAAAACAAAAATGCATGAGCCCTCCTACCAATGGCTTTTCTGTGTTAATTCCATTAAATCATGAAATTCCAGTGTTGGGAAGGAACCTGGAGGACATTTAGACTTAGGCAGTAAATATAGAACAAGAGATAATATTTTGGGCTATAGATTTCTGCAATAAATGAGGTAATAAAATCACTATTGATCACTGACCCTCCTAAAGCAATGAAACCAAGGGGTAATCCTTCTCTTAAAGGACTAATAATTGAGTTAAAGGATACAGAACTAGATTTATTCTTTGTAGAAGCTACAAAATGCAGTAAAAGTCATTGTTTTACATACGTTAGAGCCCTCGATTCTATAAAGCTCTTTTCAGTAGTAATAATTAAGCTTTATATCTGCAGGGAAACGTACAGTTAAAGCTCTTTCACTCTCAAGATTGTATTTGATCTTCCCCAAAATTATATGAAGCAGGTAAGACAGCTATTCTCTCCCTCTAAAAAGCATTTCATTTAAACATAATTTCTGTCTTTAAGAAAAGCTGCCCCCAGTGCAATTGTGTGTGCCTAAAGTCCCAGCTACTTTGGTGACTCTGGTGGGAGCATTGCTTCATCACAGGAG